AACGATGAAATAACATGGAAAGTAAAATATAAAAGGATTTAACATGATTTTATAGCCTTGTTCTAATATCAACCAATGAAAACCCTATAAATATACAATTTCAGAAACTATAGTTAAATCAATCTTTTCCAAAAAAAAATAAATAAATAAATTCAGGTATGTGATTGAGCTTGAAACAACAACAACTTGTGCTGAAACATCGATCCTATAAATAACCAACCTTTATACAGTGCCTATAAAGATATGTAAACGAGAAGTATATAAAATACAAAGAAGCATGGTTCATTCTTCGACAAGTTAAAAAGAAAAACAATAAGTGTCTTCAATTAGTTAGTTGGGTTATTTGAATCTTATTTCATTATTCCTTTTATTTATATTATTTCTTTTGTGTCTTCATATTGTTTCTATTTTACTCGAATTAATTTTTCTATTCATAATTTAATGTTCATAGTTTTGTATTGATAGTTTTTAGTTTTTATTGCTTCTTGAGTCTTTATATTATTGTGCATTGTGCTACTAAGTGATTTTTTTTATTTATTATGAATTAATTCAATAAAAAACCAAAATATACTAATTTCCTCTCACACATATAGATAGATTATTTTGCAATCAAAGTTTTTCCAAATCATCATGAAAATCAGCCTTCCTATTTTCTCTCATATGACTGAAATAATCAAGTTGTCATGCTTTTCCATGTACGCAAGTCTTATGATGCTAAAACCTAGCACCATGTCCATAATCAAAATCATCAATCTTCTCAAATATATTTTCTGCTATAAACTCCTCAGCAAGTGAAATAACTCATCTTATATGCCTTTTACCTAGTTCACATCAATATTTTTAAAAAAATCTTATTATGAGACACAAAAAATTAAATAAAAACTTTTGAAATGATGTTCTAGAAAGAAGGGTCAGATGTGAATAGGTTGAAAGATTGAGATTTTATACTTGCCCAACAAACATAAACCCATGTGAACATGATTTTTATTTTAATTGCTTAAAAGGTAAAGACACATCATTAATATTTAATTTTGTTAATTTAATGGATAATGTGTCACCTACCTAAGTAGTCGTCTACCTATAACTTTTTCAAATCAATGAAGGTTGCTGAAGTGATCGAAAAATTGAGGTTCAAATTTTTTGATCCTAAAAACCTATATCTCAACCATTTTCTTACTCACGAACATGAAAAAATAAAAAACTATAGGCCTCTAAAAACCTACTTATAACAATGAAACATATTTTAATCGCCCTAAAAACTCAAAATATATCAAATTTAAAATTCTTTTTGAGGTTTGATCAACTTTTTTAATATAATTAAAGGTACAAATCACTTATGTTAAATTTTCCTCTTAAAGACAAATCCATAGACACAACTATTAAAATTCTTAATGGCTAGAATCTAGCCACCCAAGAGTTTTCTCTCTTTCTAATTTTTTTTAAGAATTTCTCTCTCATCTCTTAACTTATAGGAATTTTACAATAAAGTTTAGGATTAAAACATAATAACCAAAAAGAAAAGGGATGAATTATGCGAAAATTTAAACTTGATGGATCAAATGGAACTTTTGTGCACTTTTTGTGAGAAAAGAGCTTCGTTTCTTTTTTTATATCAATTTTAGTTCTTAATCTGCCAATTTTTCTTAACCAAAAGCTAAAACTCTATTTCATAAAATTAGTGATAAATTTAATATTAAAACATTTAATAACACATAAAAAAATAAAAGGAAATAGCTAAAAACATACTTTAGCATATGAAACCATGGAAACATAAATTTGAAACATGAAATCAGGAAACAAAAAGGTTCAATAATCGAATTGTAAATTGTGCAAATAAAGACCAAAATATGAAAATTTTGCAAAAACTAACGGTAAATTAACAATGAAATGTGAGTGTGTATATAGTATTTTTGTGCATAGCAAAACCCTAATTTGATTTTGTTTTGTTTTTTTAATGATTTTATGTTATTTTATAATTTACAAGCAAGGAACATCCTTACTTTAATAATCAAATACATTGACATAAGTACATTATATTTTAAAGAATAAATTAAAAAAACCAAAAGCTTCTATCTTTTCTTTTTACATATATTTTCCCTATATATTATTATATGAAATCATAAAACAAAAGCATCTTTTATGCGAATCAATGGGATATAAAGATTCAAAAACCCACGATCAAATCAATCATTCCGAAGAAAGTTAAATGTAAGTTTTGAGCTTGATATAATGATAATGTATACCGAGACACCAAGAATATGAGTAACCGAAAAAACCTCACCTAACACTTATAAAGAGACACTAACGAGAACTATGGAAGATGCTATAAAACATGGCCAATTTTTGGATAAGTCAAAGTAATTCAACAAAGAGCAAAAAAGTATAAGCAAAACCTTACACACATAATAATATTTGTTGAAATCAAAGTCTATTAAAAAAAATACAAGCTAAATAATCATATTTATAATACATAAATACATCGTAAACAATGCTAGAAAAATAACAAGAGTTAAAAAGAATCCTAAATCAACTAGAAAATCCACACAATTCATATATAGTAGGTTTTGGACCTTATTTCAAGGTCATTTGATTGTTTTATTGTCTAAAATTTTAACATAATATAAAACAAGACCTTTAAAAACTTCTGGTAAATTTTCATCTCGATCTGTTAGGTGGATTGAAATTTATTCTTGTTAGTGTAAAACTATGTGTTAAGAAAAAAGAAAGTCTAAAATCGCATCTAGCATCCTTAAATGATAACGAAACCTTTCCGACAAGAAAATTCACAAAACAAAAGGAAACACAAGTTGATGACATGAAAACTCTTACCAAAATAATCTCAATTATTACCACTTATGTTTTTTTAATAGAAAAAAATCCTTGCTAAATTAAAGGTCCATAAATCATAAAGAAATAAATAGCAAAACTCGTGGAACAACTTTTAACCTAATTTCAAACATATTATGTTTCTCTTGTTTGGATGAATTATTGGGCTTACCATATATGAATAAAAAGCTTGAGATTCTTAGTTTTCAGCCCAATTAAAATAGCAATAAAATTCCTCATATAGCTTCAAAAATGTCCTAAAAATATAAAAAGGTCTATTCTAAAATATTTGTAACTTGTTAACTCAAATATTTAGAAACAACCTAATTTATTCTTTTTGAATTCTCTTAGTTTTAGACCTTATAACAAACCTAATTGATACCTTTAATGAATTATTTTGATGATGCTCATTGATTTGCATCAATCTCATAAGATAAGTGAAAAAATAAAACCTATAAAATGACAAATTGGTGAACAATTAATTAGCATTACAATTAAAAGTTCTAATATAATAAAATTACTCTATATATTCTCTTATCAATGAGTTTTTTTTATGAAAAATGGGCAGCATTATATCGAGTTAGAGGATATAGTTTACATGGCTAGTAAGATAGAGATATAATTAAAAAGAAAGGGCAATACATACCAAAGATGTAATTCATGTTCTTTTTCAACTTAGAGACCGAATTATAGAAGAGAAGAGGTTACCCAGACAAAATCAAAACACTATAAGAAGTAAAATCAAACCATCTAAATATATAAAAGAAAGACTCAACCACTTTTTTTCAAAGTAAAACTCAAACTCAAACTAATTATAATCATGATATTAAGTGTTTCAAGTGTTTGGTTAATAGACATATAGCTTTACAATATTCCAAAAAAAGAGTTATGATTATAAGAGAACATAGAAAATTAAATTTAAAAGTGACAAATCAAAAGAATATAAGATGTCACCACTTAAAAGATTGTAGTGATGTTGAGTATCCAATTAATGAAGAGGCTTTGATGATTATGAGATCACTTAATGTTCATATTAGATATGTAGTATGATTATTGATAATAGAAGTTATGCTAATGTTGTTAGTACTACACTTATTATAAAATTATATTTGAACATTTTTAAATATGAAAAATTATATAAACTAAAGTGATTGAATGAATGTGGTGAAATAAACCTACATCTTCAATAATTGATGATTATACCTTAGTCAATTTAATCTATATATAAAAGGGGCATGATCTATCTACTTTATGGGTTTATTTTTTTGTCATGCATAGCTTTACATTATCAAGAATATTTTTTATTTGACCATTAAATCAAGATAAAATTGCACATGAGATTCTAGATTTTTTATGTGTGTGTGTGTTAGTGTTCGGCTTAAGATTCGAGAGGTATATTATTTGCTATCGTGGAATCAATCCGTACCGAGGGAAAGCCCCCCCTAAAAAAAAAAGTTGGCTACTGAAATCATGAATGTGTTCTTCATTAGTGTTCTAATTTTGTTGTAAACAACAAATTCAATTCTGAAAAAAGTAGTCTTTCCTCATATGGCAATCTACAAATCCAAACAAAAAGCCTAAATCAATTAACCATGAACTATAATTTTTTCGATTGACCAAGTCAAAGTCGGTTCTGCCTCTTATAACACCCAAAATCTGTCACCTGTTGTTCCTTTTAGAGGCACCCTTGTTTTAACACCACCAATCATCCCCTTTTTCCCGTTGAAGAACCTGGTAATAACATGAAATCATAAATCCATTACCCTTTTTAAGTTTAACACAGCCTGGTGGTCTAATTCGTATCCTAAGCTAGCTACCCTATTGACTATAATTTCCAAAAACAAAAATAGTCTGCATGGCAAGCATGGCTGGAATATAATAACCTAATGAGATAAACTGTAATTTTAACCGGGTAGCTGCAAAAAAGATGTCAATCTGCTAGCAACAAAAAGAAAATGGGCCTGCCGCTAATTTCCGTTTCATTGACAGTCAGGAATAAACTCATAATCCTCTCCTCTTTAGGCCTTTTTGTTTACTCTTTGCTCTCGGATTTCTTCATACCTGGCTACCCTCTTTATTCTCTGTTTGTGAATATCATACAAAGCATCTTTTTATTTTTCTATAGTTGTTCTTCTTTCACCTTATTTACAGCTAATCGAAACATAAACTCTTTAATGCTAAAGAAAGGTTCAAGAAGAGCGAGCTCATCAAGAGGAGCGCGCATCTTCTCTGAAGACAATAGCGTGCATAAATTTAGCAGAATCAAGAACACAAACCTTCTTGAAGACGACGATGACATTTACAATACAAGAAATAGACCAGATCAGTTCATAAATAATTCCAACTCGAGCTCGCCTTATAATGATCGTTCTTCTACCTCTCCAATGGACAAGTCTCCGTGGTCCTCTCAGACGAACGTCAACGTTCCTTTTGAAGACAATGATGATAATTCCTCTCCTAATGTGCTAATGGGATCCCTAGTACGTGAAGAAGGTCATATTTATTCCTTGGCTACATCTGGCGATCTTCTGTATACAGGTTCTGATAGCAAGAATATAAGGGTTTGGAGGAATCAGAAGGCGTTTGCGGGGTTTAAATCGAATAGTGGATTGGTTAAAGCAATTGTGATTTCTGGTGAAAGAATATTTACAGGCCATCAAGATGGTAAAATAAGGGTATGGAAGGTATCTTCCAAGGATCCAAGTGTTCACAAACGTGTAGGCACCTTACCAACCATGAAGGATTACATCAAGAACTCGATGAAAACAAGTAATTATTTTGAAGTTAGACGTCATAAGAATTCGGTATGGTTCAGACACTATGATGCAATTTCATGTCTTAGCTTTAGCGAAGATAAGACATTTCTTTATTCATCATCATGGGACAAGACCTTCAAAGTTTGGAGAATTTCCAATTCCAGATGCATTGAATCAGTCATTGCTCATGATGATTCTGTTAATTCAATCGTAGCCGGATACGATGGTCTAGTCTTCACAGGATCAGCAGATGGAACTGTCAAGGTTTGGAGGAGAGAATTACAAGGGAAAGCAACCAAACATTTCTTTTCACAAACATTGTTGAAACAAGAATGTGCCGTTACAGCATTGGCAGTTAATCCTGATACCACAGTTGTCTATTGTGGCTCATCAGATGGGCTTGTTAACTTCTGGGGGCGTGAAAACCATTTATCTCATGGTGGTGTTTTAAGAGGTCATAAATTGGCCGTTCTGTGCTTGATTACAGCGGGGAACCTTGTGCTTAGTGGCTCAGCTGATATGGGAATATGTGTGTGGAGGAGAATGGGAATTGATCACATGTGCTTGTCATTGTTAACAGGCCACAACGGACCTGTTAAGTGCTTGGCAGCGGAGAGAGATGACGGGTCGGCATCCAGCGGGAGGCGATGGATTTTGTATAGTGGTAGTCTAGATAAATCCGTGAAGATGTGGAGAGTGTCTGAAAACTCACCTCCAGTGGCGTGGAAAGGATGCGCTAGCAGTGCTCCTATCGCCATACCAAGCTCACTGCCAGCAGGTCCAAGCTTCCCAGCTCAGAGCAGGATTAACGATGTACAGAATTAAAGGAAACAAAAGGGTTTGACTGCTTGCTTGTTCGTGTCTAAATGTAATTTGTTACCTTTCAATATCTGGTGGCGGATTTGGGTTTTATTACTTTTTCCTCAGAAACCGAAAGCTGAGAAAATGAAATTGCAAATTCTCATTTCTTATCCCACAATTTGAACTACACAAGTGTCAGTGCCCATGTTCTTGTACGCATAGGGCTTGTGGAATACCCACTTCATTTGTTATTGCAGTTCAATCGCATGAAAAAAAAAATTGATTTGTGGTAATGCTGTTGAGTTTTTAAAGATAGCTTTCCTATGTTCTTTTTCCCCCTGTTATCTTCTGCTTGCAACTTCCATCAAATTAAAAAAAGTGTGATTTCATAAGGAATACAATTGCTTAATAAAAGGAGGAAAGAATCTAGCAGAGCATTGTCTCAGTGAAAGCTACTGTTAGAAATTCTACGTCTGATAAGTTTCTGCTCCTTGTTTTGAAGGTTGATGTATGATTCATGTATTAAAGGGATGGCTTTCGGATAAACTGTGTAAGAAGCGCGAGCCAAACTATGTTAATGTTTGAAGATTCCTTACCACCGAAAGGTGAGTATGTCCATCTATACCTTTCAGTTACATTACATGTATCTTAATTAATTTTATATATTTTAAAATTAATAATTATATAAATTTTTAATAAATCTAAAATTTATAAAATTTCAACTAATAACATTTAAAAAAAAAATTTAAAATTTAACCAATTAAATTATATTTTTTAAAATTACTATCAAAAATATATTTGATAGTGAACTTGATATAATTTTTTGTTAGTTACAGCTCAAGAAAATTCAATGCCTAGGAATTATATTTATTTTATTTTTTTTAGCTATTTTATTTTGTGTTTTGAACCATCTAGTATAATTTCATGAGCTTTTAATTTTTTTAAAAAAATAAATTTAATTTTTTAAAATTAATATTTTTAATTTTTTATTTGTTTTGATATATTAATATTAAAAATAAATTTAATATATTTTCATCCATTAAATTTATTGAATCTAAAGGTATATTTATAATTCAACTTTTTTAAAAAAAATACCAATAACGCTTTTTTTATATATACTCTTAAAATATTTTTGTTATTTTACTGTTTATAAAAATACTCCATCAAAAAAAAAAAACTCACATAAATCAATAATTACCAATGACTAATGGAAAAAATCAAAATACTCCTCAATTAAAAGTAAGTAATTTTTTTTCTCATCAAGGCCATAGATGTTAGTTCACTATTATAGTTAACAGTAAATTGAGTCCATTTTCATCGTGAAATCGCAGTATATTTGTTATTTAAATATTTATTCAATATTTCTATATAAATAGAGAAATACTCTCATTCCAGTTTTTTGTTGCTTCGTCAAATAAATTTTAGAATAATTTACTCTAAATATCTATCCTTTGAAATTAATTTTTATTTATAACTTATGTTTTATATTTACTGCAATTTATTTTCAAATATTTGTTTTTACAACTTTACAATTTATCATTATTTTTTATAATATTTTGTTTATTTTTGTTAGCATAATTATTCTTTTTTTATTAATTTTATTCTTGCTCAAAATAAACCAACTCGATTTATAATAGTTTTACTACTTGAAACTCTAATAATTTGTTTGGACTTGTTTTTTTGTGGTTATGATTACTACAAAACTTAACTATCTTTTTTAATTTTTATTAACAAAAAATAAAAGAGAGAAGATTTTATTATACTTTTTCTCATAAAATATTATTTATTGTAATATTATTTTTTATTTTTTTCATTTGACTTTTTTTTTTTACAATCTATGTTTTTTTTCTATTTTAATTATATTTTTCAACATTAAATTTATTAAGGATTTTTCCTGATTTGATTTTTATAAGATTATTCTAATTTCATGTTCTAGACTGCAATTTAATAAGTTAACTCGGTTGACTCGAGTTTTTTTCTAATTAAATTTTATTTTTTAATTTCATCTTTTAAAATTAGATTTATTGAAAATTAGATTTCGTGATTTGTTTCGTCTTGCTTTCTATAAGATTATACACATATCATAACTCGAGTTATGTATATGGCAGATTAATTCGGGTTAACTTGAGTTGATTTTTTATGTTTTTTTTAATTGGTTTTTTTTTCAATATTATCTTTTAACACTGAGTTGATTGAAAATTAAACTTCTTAATTTTTTTTAAATTTTTTTTATTAGGTTACTCAATCTCATGATTTGGGATGCAAGTTTGATAGATTTACTTAGGTTGCTCGGGCCATTTTTCATGGTTATTTTTTAAAATTGATTTTTTTAAAAAAAAATTATCATTCAACATTAGGTTTATTAGAAATTAAGTTTTATAATTTGTTTTGATTTTTTTATATAGGGTTATTATAGTTTCATGACTAGATATATAGATTGGCAGCTTAAACCTGGATTAACTTAAATTGATCTAATATATTATCATTTTAATATTTATAAAAAAATATTATCTTGAAAAAATATTTTGCGTTAAACCAAAATTTTACATGTCATCTGAGTACATTTTAAACTTGTCAAATGAACCAGGTCACAGTAAGTCAATTTTATATTGTTTAAAAAACTTTTCTACTAGAAAAAACATTAGTAACGTCTCTATATTTTTTTATGTTAAAAAAAAATTAATCTAACTTGCAATGTAACAAGGACTAATGAACATTATTCAATAGTCCAAAACTTTATCTTATTTATTTGATAGTTCTAGGTTTGAGAAATAGAAGAGTGTCACCAAAAAATGGTAAATAAGAGAAAGTAAATCAAAGTAAACAAAGATTTATTTGTGTACTTAATTTTGTGTGTTTGGTTCTTTTTTTTTTTACCAATTATAGGATTTTTTTAGTTGAATTTTTCTTTTTTAAGGTTATCAAGTTGTTTATTAGGCATTTTTAAATAAAAAAATATGTTGAAAAATAATTTTTTAGGTCTAAAAACCCATCTCAATTTCTAACCAATATTTTAGTGGTGCTTTTAGATGACACATAGTTAGTCACAACAAATAATAGATTGTTTGATTTATTTATTTTTAAATTCATCCATACATGAGTCACACAAAAAAATAAAAAGAAATGAAAAGGAAAGGCCAGGTGCAAAGACTTGACCTTGCAAACTTAAGGTCTAATCTCTCAAACCTGCACATATGACCATTTCATTTTATAGGCCATGTGTATTTGCCAACCTACACCTATGTGTTTGGTTTTTTTGTTTTTTTATTTTTGATTTGTTTCCTCTTTGATATAATTTTAAATTTAGTTTGTTGTCTTTGTTTTTATCTTTAATTTATGAAAGATAAATTCTAAAAAATTATAAGAAAATTTAAAAGGTGTAAAAAAATTATTATAATAATCCATAATAAAATTATTCTTTTTTTTTTCATTCTCAAAACAAACTAAATTAACTAGCTATCACAGTACAATCTTTTCACATCGCTATATTGGTAATGAGATACATAAGTCTTTTTGAATTTATAATATGTAGTGAAATGACTAAATTTTCATTAAAATCAAAATTTATAAAATTGATAGCAAATGGTGTTTTCATATTTTTAGTTTTTATGCATATTAAAATGATTTTATTATCCCTAAAAAATTAAATCTCATCCACTAATAGTCAAAGGCGTTTTGGTATTTTTACTATATTTATTATATATATATATATAATATTATATTATTTAAAAAAATATATTATTAATACATGCACTGCACATGTTAGTGTGTGAGCTACTCCTGCACCATTTTGAGTGACATATGAAAAGGTTTTGGGTGGCTAAACAATATTTTTCATGGCAGTGTTTAAATTGTTTTGGTAGCCTCTTAATTTCTAGGTGACATATATAGCTTATTAACCTCCAATTTAGTGTTATCAGGCTCTTCTTTTCTATCATTGTTTTTTCTCTCCTTATAAATTTTCATATATGACCCTATTAAATTTAAAATAGTCATTTAATTTGTTTTTTCTTCAAATTTAGTCTTGCTATTTTAATTACTATTGATGTTTTATTTGAAATGATTTATAAAATTATAATTTTTTTTTAAATTTTATTATATATTTATTTATTTATTAGATTTGATTCTTATTCTTTTGATTCTTATTTGTTTTATTTGAAATAATTTTTATAACTGGATTTTTTAAAATAATTTCAGCCTCCTTTATTTTTTTCATATTAACTTTAATCCTTATTTTTTTTATTTTTTTTTGTACTTTGATAAAAAATTTAGATTAATTTTATTTTTAATTTCATCATTCAACATCAAATTAATTATGAGGGTTTTTTGATTGAGTCCAGGTCTAGGATTTCATAAGGTACTAGTTTGAAAGATTAATCTAGATTTAAAATATTCATTAAAGTTTGCTTTGGTTTTTTTTTTCTCTCTTTTTAAGCTTTGTTTTTTTAATTTCATCCTTTCATATTTATTTAATTAAAGATTAGGCTTTATTTTTTTATCTGCTTCCTATAAAAGTTTTCACTAATTTTAAAAATGACTGTGGTTGTTTTGAATCTTTTTATTTTTTTATTAAATTTAGTTTTTAAAATATATTTTATTTTTTAATTAAATTAAATTAATTTATTAAATATGAGTATGAGATACTCAATTTATGATATTTTATTAGCTCATTTTTTTCAGTCTCATCATTAGTATTTGTTTAACTGGAGATTAAGGTTTGTTATTTTTTTTTCTTCCTATAAGATTTTTCACTTATTTTAAAAATGATATGAGTTATTTCAAGTTTTTTTATTTTTAATCTTTGTTAAATTTAATTTTTTTAAAGATATTTAATTTTTTAATTAAATTAATTAATTAAATATAAATATAAGATATTTTTTTATAATATTTTATTTGATATGATTAATTACAAGCAAAAAGACAAATTAAAAGATTTTAGTTTTTACCCATTGTCCACCAAAATAATTTGTCATGACTTGAACATTCTTTTTATTGCAATTTCTTTTGGTGCATCTTGTGATGTAGTAGGCTGCATAGCTAGTATTTATTAAATTTTAGTAAATTTATAACTGAAATCACGGGTTCATGGATTAATTAGGCTAAATTATTTCAATCTAAAATATGATGTTTTAAATATTTGATTTTCAAATAAGGTAAAACAAGACTGACTTTGAACATTTCTTATTCTTCTTTTTAATTCAAATCGGGTCTTGATATTTTTCAATTGAAATTATTTTAAATAAATTAATTAATTAAAAATATATTTAGGATATTATTTAATAAAGTCTAATTCAATTTTTACTTTGTCTTTTTAGTAGGATTATAGCACATTCATGTAATATTAGCCTTTTATTTTAATACAAGATATTTTATCATCCCACATGATTATCCCTTAGAAACCCAAAATCAATAAAGAAAAAGTCAAGTCATTATTATTATTATTATTATTATTATTATTATTTTCCTTTCCATATCCATTAGAGATGCTATAGCCATCACGAAAACCCTGTGCAATTCAACATTGTCTTTCAACAAGCAACCACCCACCTACCTTCCCATGGAAAAAAATACCATCCCGTGCACACAACTGAAAAAACAGCATCAAGCCCACAACCTCGCAGAATACAGAGCAATATTCTTCCTCCCGTTGGGTGGTGGCGGTGGTCCCCGGGCCCAACCGAACCCCACATCTATCCCCCGATTCCACCCCCACGACGGAAAAGACAAAAGTTTGCGCCCCTCCACCCACATGCCCCACCATCCCCGGCCTCTCCTCCAGATCCCTCCTCTACCTAATAATAACGAAAGAAACACATATCCAACCCCACACCTTATATATTAAAAAGTATATGTCTTTTTTTAAAATGTATTTTATTTAAAAATATATTAAAATAATTTTTTTAAAAAATTATTTTCATGTAAGTATTTGAAAATAATCTGAAAATCTAACAAAATTAAATTAAAATTAAAAATATAAAATATAAAATATCATGAAATATAGTTTGCATATTGTATTCTCAAACGGTGAATAATTATAGTGAATTTTCTCCATATATTCAAACCTTACCCTTCTTCCCAAAAAAGAAAATTAATTCTTGTTACTTACATGTAATTTTATTTAGAATACACTTTGACATCCAAATTCAGAGATTGCTAAATTGTTTGGTAATTACTTTTGTAGTATAGATAAGTTTGATCTTCAATTATGATTTTGGGTGAGATTGCAAAGCTTCTTAAAAAATTGCATCAATATTAAATATAGATAGTTTGGTTAAGATGTGGTGGGAAAAGAAATTAATTTAATTATTGAACTGATTATATATTAGCCTTTGATTGGGTAACGTAAAAGTTAGATGACCTTCATTCAGAATTAAAAAAAAAAATATGAAAATCATAGGTGATATAGACCATATTTATTTACAAAAAAACTAATTTTTTTTTTAAATAAATTATAAAAAAATAAATTATTTTTTGATATTTAGTAGTATCATGAAAAGTAAGTTAGAAAATACTTTCTAATATTTGGTTATATTATAAAAAATGAGTTGGAAAAAAGTTTATTAATATTTCTTTAATTTATTAAAATAATAAAAAATAAATCTTACAAATTAAAAAATTGAATGAGAATAGAATTGAAAAAAAAATTAATTTCATAAATTATCTGAAATAAAATAAATACTAATAAAAATAATAGAGATCAAATCTAACAGATAAAAAAATTAAAAGATGATGAAATTAAAATAATAATAATAATAATTTCATAAATTATTTTAAATAAAATAAGTAACAATCAAAAGAATGAGAATCGAATTTGATAGATAAAAATTTTATTTTAAAAAATGATAAGAAAAAAATAAATAACAATCATAAAAATAAAAATCAAAGTTAATATAAACATTAAATTAAATCAAAATTTAAGGAATGAATTTGAAAAAGAAATCAAACAAAACATACAATAATCAAAAATTTGAGAAACAAATTTGATATAATTAACAAGTAATATAATATTTTAAAATTGTTCATAACTTCTAAAAATTATTTTTTATTCATAATAAAAAAATATTTTTTTAAAAATCAAGTTAAATTTTTATTTGATAGGAAAATATTTTCTATTAATTAATTTTTTTAATAATAAATAAATATAAAAAAATTGGAAAGTAATTTTTAAAAAATTAACTTTAAAAAAATAATCACATAAATTAATTGTATGATGGCTGTCCTCGTTCTTGTTGATGGTGGTGTTTTTTTTATTTTAAAAAAAGGTATTTAAATCCAGTTTGTATGTATCAAATGAGACTTTTATATTCTAAATAAAGCTTGTAAAATAAAGCTTACAGTTTAGCTATCAGTGAACATAGGAAATCAAACTAAAAACCATATAAAGAGTTTATCTTTTTATTTCCATTCACTTTACCAACTTAATCTCTTAATTATAGTATTAATTTTCAATGTTGATTTTTTTTTTTAATTTAATACATAAATGATGTGTTTATGGAGATTTATAATTAATAATTTATTTTCATTTATCTTTTATATGATTATGGTAATATCAAAAAAATATCTTAGCATTAGGTTGGTATCAAAAAAATATTTTAGCATCGTGGTATAATTTATTTTGAAAAAACAATTAATTCAAATAAAAAATAATTAAAAAACTAAATTATTAAATTTTATGAAATCAATGACCCAGTTTACAAGTTTAACCTGATAACCTTGATTGTCTCGGGTTATGGGTTTAGCAAGAAACTTTTTTTTTTATATATAATTGAACTCAATTATGTGATTGTCTATTTTTTTTATTATATAATTAAAAAATAATTTTAAAAAACATGTTATTAAATTTTAAAAAGTTCATTGGCTTGTTGATGAGTATGATAATTTTAACTCTTTTTTTTTTTTATCTTTTGATATTTGACTGATTGAGAATTAAGTTCCATAATTTATTTCGTTTTGTTTTCTATGAGATTATTATAGTTTAAAAAAAACTCAATATTAATTTGACACTCAATTTTATAATCATTTATTTTTGTTATTATATAAATTAAATAAAAAATAGTTTAGAGAAAAAATAAGTTATTAATTCCAATGAAATTTATTACCTGGTTTATGAGTTTGATATGTTGACCCGAGTTATCTAATTAATAAATTTAATGGGTTTATTTATCAAACCTAATATATTTTTTTAATTTTTGATCTTTTAATTTTTCTAATTATTTTTTTATTTTATTTTTCTTTAATATTGAATTAATTGAAAAATATAATTTATAGTTTATTTTTTTTTATTTTTTATAGGATTATCATGATCTTAAATAAATATTATTTTTACAATTAATTTTTAATTTTAAAAGTATTTAATATTATCATAAAATTAAATATAAATAATTTATAAAAAAATTATTAAACCTATTAAAATTTATAGCATAAATTGTAGGGTAACCGAAATCAATTTAATTTGGTATTATCTCACTATAAAAAAATATATCATTTTAAATTTTTTTAAAAGTATTATGTTATTTTTTTTCAAGTTATTTTTAAATTCATGAAATTAAATAATTCATTTTAAATAATTTCTATACAGTTTATTTTAAAATTCAAGTTAAAAAAATCAATCTGATAAATTATAGAATTGAACTACTTAATTCCGATGGCACTATGAAAGAAAGAACTATACTAACGGATCATGGCAAAATATACTGATAAGCTCGCAATACCCCATTGAAGGTCCTAGCATAGGAGCTCCTGCCTGGTTCTCTTACTTCCAGCCCCGGAGCCGCCCCCCCAACAAAACACACATTCTCTTGACTTCTCTTATCTACTTCCCCAAAATACTTTGTCCTCTCCTTCCAAGCTACTTCTTCTTTCCTTGTAGATTTCACTTTCAATCAGCTCTGGCATTTCCCTCTTCTCCAAGCATTATTATTCTTTTCTCTTTTTGTAGAATCTCACTTTATTTTCAAAACCCAACAACCCGAACATAAACCAAAAAAAAAAATGTTTCCTCTTCTTCTCTTTGAGGTTAGGATTAGGGCTTCACTTTGATCTACAAATTTACCAAAATGTGTCCAGTTACAGAAGATGGAGTTCAATACTCATTTGCACTTGAATACACCGGACCCCCAGTGGGCTACGACATCCCACGCGCCGTCCCAATCAACGTCAACAGCATCCCTGTTGCCGCCGTAGCTCCCCACATTAATTTCCAACAAAATATCACTTTACCTGTAGTAAAACCTCTGTTACCCGCCTCTGATCCCATTAAAAACCCAAAATCTGCTAATACCGGTGAAAACCCAGGTAAGGATTGTGGATCTGAAGAGGCAGCTATAACTGTATCACCAACTTCCGTTATAGAGAGAGCTGTAGATCATAATTTGCAAGAACGTGTTTTTTCTAGCGAGTTAAGTAGTTCAGGTTTATCTAATGATGCTGGTACAAGTTCAAGTACTAATAGTTTTGATGACAAATCGCGTGATGAAAGTTTGCTAAAGTTGAGGGTTTCTAATGAATTGTCTTCGAATCGAGATTGGGAGTCAAATGAATCTGTTTTAAGTAGTGTTGATGTTGATGATGAGTATCCGTCTTCGCGTGTTTCTAGTGTTAAGGTTTCAAATAATGAGGTGAATGGTGAGGGTAGAAAAGCCCCAGCTGTTACTTTTCGCGATATTGAATCGAATGATGGTGGCGGTGATATTGATGGTGAATTTGGTGGCAACGAGGGGTTTTCCGAAGAGGAGGAGAGGGTTCTACGGATTAAACCAGAGGCCAGAAGTAAAGGGAAGAAAGGGAGTTGTTATAGGTGTTTTAAAGGGAGTAGGTTCACGGAGAAGGAAGTTTGTCTTGTTTGCGATGCGAAGTATTGTATCAATTGTGTGCTTAGAGCGATGGGATCGATGCCAGAAGGGAGAAAATGTGTTACTTGTATTGGATTTCCAATTGATGAATCAAAGCGTGGGAGCTTAGGAAAGTGTTCGAGGATGCTCAAGAGGCTGTTGAATAATTTGGAGGTTAGACAGATAATGAAGGCAGAGGAGTTGTGCGAAGCAAATCAGTTGCCTCCGGAGTATGTTTATGTGAATGGAGAACCTCTTTGTCATGAGGAGTTAGTTGTTTTGCAGACTTGTTCGAACCCGCCTAAGAAAATGAATCCTGGAAACTATTGGTATGATAAAGTGTCCGGTCTTTGGGGAAAGGTGAATTTAGCATAATACTTTTGGTGGTTATGTTCTTGTCATAATTTGATGCGGTTTGTTTCTTTATTATGGACTTTGATGGTTGTTTCAAATTTTCAATTTAACAGGTAGGGCAAAAGCCTTCCCAGATTATAAGTCCTCATTTGAATGTTGGGGGTCCAATTAAGGCAAATGCTAGCAATGGAAACACACAGGTTTTCATGAATGGCCGGGAGATCACAAAAGTTGAGCTTAGGATGTTGCAGGTTGAGTTTCAGTACATGCTCTTCTTTTTGTTTGTTTTGAATGATTTAATGTCAAGGGTTTTCGTATTGAGACATTTCATTGAAATTGCAGCTGGCAGGAGTTCAATGCGCTGGCAACCCGCATTTTTGGGTGAATGAGGATGGATCATACCAAGAAGAGGGACAGAAGAACACTAAAGGTTACATTTGGGGCAAGGTATGCTTTATATGGAACCTCATCTCTGCCTGAATTTTCCCTTTCCACATTTATGAATGCATTTGGAATCATTTGTCTGCTTGTTACTTAACAGGCGGGAATGAAACTTGTTTGTGCTTTCTTATCACTACCTGTTCCTTCAAAACCTTCGAATTCTTGTGGAGAGCAAGTTAACAGTCTGATTAGCAGAAGCATCCCAGACTACCTTGAGCAGAGAACACTTCTGAAGCTTCTTTTAGTTGGATCTAGTGGCTCTGGAACAAGTACTATCTTTAAGCAGGTACTTTCTCAACTAGGCTCCTCAAAATTTTTTTATGTTAAGGATCACCTATCTTTGCTAAGTCTCATATTGTCATGGTCTCATTTTCCATCTTAAAACATCCGAAGATGTTTCAAAAAGTAGATGGATGTAGTGGGGTTTGTTGTCTTTACTTTGTTTTATATGCTTGTGGTCTCTTTTCCTGTCTAAGCACATCCAAGTGATGTTTCAATATAGGTACATTCATGTTATTCTGTTAACTTATGTTAATGCATTGCCTTGATTATGAAATTTATTTGGAGAACCTTGGATGATAAAAGTAAAAACCAGTAACAACATTCAAGCTATGCATATTCTCAAGCAACTGTCAAACATTCCCTCTATCCCAAATTATATTTCCTTATTTTATTTGCTCAAAACTTTAACTTTTAGTAAACGTGGATCCCATTTATATTTCTTTGTGCTTACCATAGCAGATCCCATGGTGTGATGAATGATATTTAATGAAGGATAAAATGGAAAAAATTGAGAGTAAAAGATTTTTATAAGCAGAACTTTTCCAATCCAATCATATATACTATGCTTAAAAATGGTAAGCCAAAGTTAAACTTTGAAACTAAGTAAACCATCAACAAAAGCAATGTATATAGATTAAAAGTGAGTTCAATAGGCTCAAAACTGCTGGATCAATTAAAAGGCCAACTAATTTGTGTGGCCATGTGGGTGTTGTGCCATTGCACCATTTGTCATTGCCCATAAGGGACTGGTTTATAATTCCTGACTACACATTGAAAGAGTTCTTGTAAATGAACCTTGTTCTGTAAGTGTCATCCTTTTAGTATGCATTGATCTCTGTACACGGATGCTTATACTTGGTTTCTCTACTTCTGCCTTTGGTAATATTGGTATCATACCTTATCCTGCAAAGCATGGCTTTTATGACATGCTATTCAATGCTGTAAAAAATTAGCTTACTTCATTTTAATTTGATGCTTTTTTCAGGCAAAGATTCTTTATAAACCTGTCCCTTTCACTGAAGATGAGCGTGAAAACATTAAATTGACAATCCAGAGTAATGTGTATGGTTATCTTGGTATACTTCTTGAGGGCCGTGATCAATTTGAAGAGGAAAGTTTAACTGCAGTGACAAAAGAGCAATCTACTGATGAAACAGAACATATTGGTATGTTGAGTCTCTCTATTCTTGATTTCTTCTCAACTTGTATATTTTTTTCCTTGTTCTTTGTATTTTTTGGTTGGAGAATGACCCTCGTGTTTATCCCTGACACATGTGGGTGGGTGTGCACAAGGGGGAAAAAAGTAACAGATGTTGTGTAACATTTGTAATTTTTAACAATCTCGTTTGTTGTATGGGAATACATTAGATTCTTACTGCCTCTTGTCTCCAAGTAGTGTATATAAGGAAACAGATTTTATGTGGGAACTGGGATGGCCCTAAGAAGTTGTTCTGTCTTCAAGATGTGATTAGATAAATATGATTTGTAGCATTGATGAATAGCATGCAGTTGCAGAATGTGTTGAAACCACTAACAACTTACAATGTAAAAGTAGGTGTGTGACAGCTGATTGATATAAATTTACTTTAAAACTCTTCTTGGGCTTATATTCTGTTAAGTTCCTGAAAGAAAATGTTGTGTAATAATAGGGAGTACAAGTAACACGAAGCACCAAACTATATACTCAATTGGTCCAAGGCTTAAAGCATTCTCGGATTGGCTTCTGAAGACTATGGTATCTGGGAATTTGGAAGCAATTTTTCCTGCTGCTACTCGCGAATATGCGCCACTAGTTGAAGAGTTGTTGAAGGATGAAGCCATGCAGGCCACTTATAAGCGGAGAAATGAGTTGGAAATGCTACCCAGTGTGTCAAGTTATTTCCTGGAGCGGGTAAGATCTTTTGTCAGGTTCATTTGCTTGGTGCAAATTTGTTAGACTATATTTGGTCTATACATGCTTCTCTGTTGTTACTTGGTAGTATTTAGTCAAGATGTGAAGTTTTCTGTTTTCATGCTTGCATCATTTCTGGCTGAAGTTAGAGCCATAAAATATCTTAAAAGAGAATAATTTTGATTTTCTGACTGATATAGAGGAACTGACTGATATTGTTTTTTTTTTTTTAATTTATTTATTTATGAAAAAAGAGCAGTATTGTAATCTGCTTTAACAGTTGCCTGATGGTATGGTATTCATGTTGATAGTACATGATTCATGGTTAAAATGGGATTCATTTTGGTTCCTCAGCTTGCCTAGGTTGAGCCAAGTGCTGCTTTAGTTTCGCTCATTAGACATTGGTAATGTTTAAGCTTATGCATTTTGTTGAACGAAGGTTTACAGACTATTTTGTTTCATGTCATTGTGCTCTTGCCAAATATATCTACATGATAACGCAACTGCAGTTTCTTTGTTACCGCTGCTAAATTATTCTCTCTGCAGGCTGTTGATATATTGAGAACAGACTATGAGCCCTCAGATTTGGATATCCTATACGCTGAGGGTGTTACTTCATCAAATGGGCTTGCTTGCTTGGATTTCTCATATCCCCAATCAGCATCTGACGATAAATATGACACTGAAGACCAGCATGATGCTTTGCTTAGGTAGGAGCTGTCGTTTATTAAGAAGTGCCTTAAATTTCTGATGGTTTTAGTTCTCACCTCTGTTATGAAGTAGCTCGTAAGCAATCACGGTGTTGCTTCTGTGCTATTTGCTGTACCTCTGGCATGGCTTGCCTAATTCTTCTATCTCATCACGCAGGGACATTATTAAATATGTAGTCATTTGTAGAGGTATCCTTTTATTGTTAACATTTCCCCCCTTTACTCTGGTCACCAGGTACCAACTAATTAGTGTACATTCACGGGGGCTTGGAGAGAACTGCAAGTGGCTAGAGATGTTTGAAGATGTTGGGATGGTCATGTTCTGTGTTGCCATGAATGACTATGATCAGTTTACAGTTGATGGGAATGGCTTGTCTACTAACAAGATGTTGCTGAGCAGGAAATTCTTTGAGAGCATTGTTACTCATCCAACATTTGAGCAGATGGATTTTCTTTTGATACTAAATAAATTTGATCTGTTTGAGGAGAAAATTGAGCGAGTACCGTTGACTCAATGTGAATGGTTTGATGATTTCCATCCAGTGATCAGTCGCCATCGCTCCAACAGCAACAGCAACAGCATCAATACTAGCCCCTCACTTGGTCAGCTGGGTGCCCACTATATGGCAGTTAAGTTCAAGAGGCTTTACTCTCTACTCACCGGAAGGAAGTTGTATACTTCTGTGGTCAAGGGACTCGAACCTGATAGTGTTGACGCGGCTCTTAAATATGCGAGGGAGATTATGAAGTGGGGTGAAGAAAAACCCAACTTCAGTCTCAGTGAGTATTCAATGTATAGCACCGAGGCAAGCTCCTATTCCCCCTGATGAATAAAGTAAGAAACGCTTTGTATATGGATCCTAGCTCTTAACAGCAGTTCTCATTGCCACTGTACATATAATGGCATGTAAATTAGCGGGAGAAGAAGCTCTTCATGCGAGAGCTGTTGCAGCTGGAAGATTGTCAAGCCGGCCTTGTAGGTTCATCTCAAAAAAATTATTTACAATATAAGACTACTATCATAGAAATTAGGATGAAACATTAGCTCTCCTCGACGCTCTGTGAAGGAACCGCTTGATGTTGTTTTTGTACCTTGCGTGTAGTTCTGTCCCCATCTGAACAGCGTTCGAATATTCATTTGCAATATAAGATGATATCATCAGATCTTCTAAATGCCGTCTCTCCTCAGACATCAGGTATATATCTAGTAACTGTAGTGCATGCTTTATGCTGCTCGGTAATTTTCAAAGTCAACTTAACATTAATTAAAATAAATATTCGTAGGAGGATTTAAATTTTGAATGAGAAAAGATATTTTTTTAAGCCAAAACTTTTCTATTTCTTTTTTTATTTACGCATTTGTTTTTAAGAGGCTTTTTTTTTTGTCAACAACATGGTTTATTTAATAAGGGAAAACTTCATTTTTCTTATTTTATTTTTTGACAAAAACATGTGCTTTTTTCATTGGTAGAATGTTTTTTTTTTAAAAAAAAAACAAAAACTTATCATGATCTTAAAAGAAAAAAATATTAAAAAATCATATTTTGATAATTTTTGCATGGCTATATAAAAAAAATAGAAGAATAATTGATTTATGAAAATATATAAGAAATTAACAATAAGAAATAATAATAAAATATTTTATTTTCATTAAATATTATTGTGTAATTTTTGTTTTGTTTTGTTTTTTTGTATATTAGGCTCATATATAATTATTATGAGAGTAATTGAAGATATTAACATAAAAATATCTAATAAAGAGATGATTTTTAAAAATATTATTATAATAATCAATTATTTTATTTTAAAGAACAACCCAAACACACATGTTTCTAGGCATACTTCAGTGTGCTTGAAAGAATATTCAAAATATGCCTCAGCAAACCTCCGCTCCTTGCCTTTGAAAATAAAGGCCAAGTGCCTCGTGGCCTAAGAGGCTAGACAAGCATTTTTAAAGTAGTCTCTAAAAAGAATAGTTCATGAGCTTAGATAATTTTTCAGCTACTTTCAATGGCTAGAAAATCAAGACTTGAATTTTTGAAATTTAAAACTCAGATTACTTGTTTTTCACATTAAAGTATAAAAATATATATAAAAAAGAACTAAAAAAACCTCAATAATTATATTACTACCTAGAAAACACACTTTAATAAGCTTAAAAACTCAAAATCAAATAAGTATAATATCTCTAGCTCAATATTCTATTTTGTTTAGCATGATTAAATGAATAAACAACCTTTATGGAGTTACCCTTGTCAAAATACAATTTATCAACACCAAAATTAATAGATTTAATGTTTGGAATGAGATTCTCTCTCCTTTCTTTTTACAATAACTTTTTTTCTCCTATCTTAATTTCTAATTTATAATGACTAGAATGTAAAAATAAAATAAAGTTTGATGTTTAAAATGAAAGTTTGAAACTACATGGACCAAAGTGTAGAAAAAGTATAGTGACCCCCCTAGAAAATTTGCAAGGTTTAAAGATATAGCATACCATAAAAAGTATTAATAATTAAGTTTATGTATGCATTATAACCATATTTTTCATGCACTCCTATATGACAAATATTTTCTTTCCAAACATTTCTTCATACTTATAATTATATACTATTATTTTTCTCTTTTAATTATATTATTATTATTATTAAAAACACATCGCGCTTGCAATATCTAGATATTATTTTTTATACTAGAAAATACGGACTTGCAGCGTAGCATAGACCCAATTCTAGTTTCTTCGTAATCATAATCACATACTATTATTCTCCCCTTTAATCACATATTATTTTATTTGTCCTCCTTGGCATATGTTTATCACACAATCATCTCCTTATATTTTCTCCCATCTGGGCACATCAAGAAAGGAATACAATCAAGAGCAAAGAGATGACAGAGTAACGAAGAAGGTAGTTTGCTGACATGTTAATAAAGAAGAAGCATGAGATTAGAAGGTAAATAATAGTAAGAAATATCACCTTTTAACAGACGGTAGCTTGCCAACGTTGCTGTAAGGTTGTAGAGTCCATGCTCACGCATATACTCAAACATGAAAGCAATTTTTTCTTTTTTTTCTTTGACACATGCAAAGTTGGTGAAGTCCTTAGATAGTGGCAAGACCAAAATCACTGAGTAAACATAGAGTGTGCGTTCCAATCGCCACCGCATTTCAAACTGCGGTTGGCCGTAAAAAGCATCTTCGAATAGTGGCCTTTTTTCTTTTTTTATCAAGCTTGCAAAGTACATAATCTAATTCACGTAGAGAGATGCTGACTTTTGCTGCAAACTGCAACGTGGATAAACTGGTTTAACTTCAAGCATATCTCATAGATGTCCTACTTGTATTTCAAGAAACCGACATCATAGACAGATCTTCGTACTTTTTCACAATTTGTGTTTATTAAGTGCAGTTCCTGAAAGAGGGACAGAGGGATGCTAATCTTCTGCTATTAAATGAAGTCGTACCAGAGAGATAACTCGCATGCGTGCACACCGACGTATTACGTATTATTATGAATACATGTTCTTTGTTAGAGCGATCCATAATTCTTGCTTGAAATATATATCACCCACTTCATGGCTTTGATTCCTAACGCAATGGCTGATTCAAGACTCTTATTTAATTCTTTTCCGGATAAAATATTGGTATTACATGTTTTATGTGCCGAAGTGGTTCTTCTTTTCATCTTTTAGAAACCATGATTGCTCTTCCTTTTCTTTTGTCTCTAGTGTGATATGCTTATGAACTTTATCTTCGACATCTTTTAGATTTGGGGTTTGGGACGCATCCAAATGGGCTGCCTGAGCTCGTGAACATGCTTTAATTTGGCTACAGGTATAGTGGAAGAAAACAGATACCTGCAGTGCAAGGAGTCACTGCATTCGTTACGAAGATGATGGGATATCATCTTGGGAAGAATTTGTTAATCCTTTCTATCAGCTGGCGAAGTGGGATATCATCTTGGGAAGATCTGAGAATTGGATCTTCCTTTAGTTACCAACCGGGACCCAATCACAAGCTGAAGGAATTCTTCACTTTTGCTTTTTGTTAATATTTAAGTGACATTTGGTTTAATATCTCAGAGCTTAGAAATGGTTGATCTGGCCTGCTGAAATTGCAGTGGTTTTAAATTTTTAATATGCGTAGTGGACAGAAATAACTGTGTACAGACACACCAGACCTTCAATTTCTGGTGACATGTTGCTTTCTCCTTTTGAGATTGGAATTTTTTTATTTGTCCTTATCAATCTTATTCTATTAAAAAGAATATAGAAAACAAAATTATAGTTTGAATCGGAAGGAACTCTTACCCTTTTCTCTTGATAATATGATATAATAATTTGGCATGGGATGCATTAGGTTGAGCATTTGAACTTTTAAGTATCTTCGTTGATGCAAGCAACATTTCTTGTTTATGATTATGACACGCAATATCTTCCAAGTCTTTCAGTTTAGTAGCCAACCAGGCTACCCCGAACAGTCTCATCTCACCAGGTGAAGCTTGTCAACTATTCACCGTCACCAACAACAGCGTAGAAGTTCCCTTTAGAAGCAACTCTCCCCACAGGAGAGCTGCTTTGTCAAGCAAGCGCCATTCTTTTTCATAGTTTATTATGCTATGCTATCTTTTGAATTGTACAGAGGATTTCCCACTTGAAATGGTAACTAAGAGTATCTGGCAGTTTAGTCAAGTGTTGAGGTTTCTTTTCCTTTTCCTTTTCCTTTTTCTTTTTTCTAGGAAAAAGCATGTAGTGATCATCATGATATGGTTTCAAAATGAAATTTGCAATGCCATGCCCACACCTACTTTACGAAAAGGACTCGTCCAGGCTCTCCAAGAACACTGAACAGTCAGAATCCACAATCAGCAAAAAGAAAGGAAGCAGAATCATGCATTTACGTCCACCATTATTTCCATGGGAAACAAAGTTAAATGGGTGTGGCCCAATGATGATTATTACTAGAGGAAATAGAGACCCCCTGAACTTGATGATGAGCTTTGGAGGTATCCACTCCCTGCTAACATCAACTCACTATTCCTCGGTGCATGACTTTGCACATACTAATGGTTTTGGACGTTTCTTTTCCATACTGCTAGCTTTAAAGTTAAAGAAAAGAGAAGCAGATTAACAATAAGACAACTACTTCGGATGAAGACGTATCAAACGTTTCTGCTTAGCACTACCTGCAATCTACCTAGACAAGGATGTGAAGGACAAAGCGGGCAGTCTGAACTACATGCTTGCTCAGCCAAGAGGACGCTGGCAGGAGAACGTAGTTTAAAGACCATTTCTATTATTCTTTTAAATTAAAACGAAAAACGACTTCATTTTAGAGAGAAAAAAAAAGGGTTTAAAAAAACATAAAAAGATAAAAGATATATTCTTGAAGTGTTTGGTTTGACTGAATCAACCAAATTACAAGTTGACTCCGAAAATCACCTGAATTTAAACCAAAAAAAACACTCATTCCTGGTCGAGCTTCATGCTGGCTTGTCAAGCGGAATTAGACCAGCATCTGTAATACTTGTTAAACCTAGTTATCCTACTTAAAGTCGATATCCAGAATCATCTCCTAACAGATATGCACTAGGCTGCGAATTTCATGGGATACCAGATCCTCTTCCCAACAAAACACCATTCTCTTGAGGTACAACTTAAGCGGTAACAAAGCTAATACTTAAGCATGCAGTCTCAAATTCAAGCTTCATAGACTAACAGGCAAAATAAGGTTTGAGTTTTTTTTTTTTTTGACAGATATGGAGCAAAAGCAGGAACGTTTTGGGTGCTGAAAGTTCTATCCATATAATTCTGCTTGGAGGTCAACATAACTTCCCGAGTTGATACAGATTCTAAAGCCACCTCTACCCAAAAAAAAAATGATGATGATAAAAGGGAGAAAGGGGGAAATATCAAACAAACAAGAATTAACAAATTCACCCATTGCATCAGAGAGTCATGAGGAAGAGCAAAAGGATCTGGCCACACAGATTTAACAGCCCTCAATCTTCGGCTCTGACTCTCAGATTTTGCACCCTAATTGATTGTCCATGCCTTCTAAGTTCATTTGTTTTCATCCTGGAACAAAACTATTAATACATATATCCCAAAACTCAAGCCTCCGTGCCCTCTTCAACAGTTGGGAGGCCACCGTCGTTGATAAAGGCTGGATT